ATGTATCCTATTATCTATATGCCTGTCAATATCTATCTATCTATCTATCTATCTATCTATCTATATCTATCTATCTATCTCTCTCTCTCTATATATATATATATATATGTGTGTGTGTGTGTGTGTGTGTGTGTCAGTCTGTATCTCTCTATTCATATGTCTGTCTGTCTATCAGTCTGTATCTATCTATATCTATCTATCTATCTATCTATCTATCTATCTATCTATTTCTCGGTCTATCTATCTTTCTGTCTTTCTGTCCGTATCTCTATGTATGTATCTGTCCATCTGCCTGTTTCTCTATGTATTTAAGTTTGAATATTATGATAATTTAAATAATAATTATTAAGCAGTATTTACTTATTAAACAACTATAACGGTGCAGTCAAAAATGCGAAGATATGTTTACCTGCCGCACTTATGCTGTTGATAATTGGTTTCAGTGGTCAGAAGATTATTTACTCAATGAGCTTTTGTGCGTCTTGCATTTCTCATGGTGCCAGGATTCACATTCCTCCTTCTGTTTTTTTGCTATTCGCTTTCTTGTCCCAGGCGCTATTCCGTTCGCATTTTTCTATTTCCTCGACTTAGATTCTTCCTCGATTTCATTTTGAACCTTTTCAGCTACACGTTCTCTCAGGGCAGCTCTTCTTGCATTAGCTTCTTACTCTGTTTCATTGGCTTCGTTGCGATGTTCATTCTCGCAGGCCTGCTTTCCTCCGTTTAACTTCGTTCTTCGGTTTCATTCGTTCAACTCTCTGTCACCTGTCTTGTGCTCTTATTGCTTCACGGTCTTCATGTGATGCCTGGGAATAGTTATTTATTTGTACGTTTGTACAAAATGTGGCACAAGGCCAAAAAAGGGGGTTGGGGGAAGGACGGTCTTCTTCTGTCTTAATTCTAAACTTAGCACAGACACGGACCCAAATTTTCTAAACTTAAACACAGACACGGACCCAAACATACCAACAATAGTCCTATCACCAAAACAACACATTCACTCCTACCTTTCTTACTACGTCCACCATAATACCTCAAATTCTCTAACTAGTCCCCATATGTACATTTCAAAGCCTGTGCTGGGAGGGGAAAAAACAACAATTTAAAAAAAAAAACCAATGATGCCTGAGAATATCTTTACTCTCAATCTGTCGCCATACTTATAACTGATCATGAGATAGGCGTAATCGCTACCTCCGTTTTCGCCCTGATTCCGATCGCCTTTCTTCAAGGGAATATTTTGTGATGTTCAATGGACGACATTGTCTTAAACGCACCAAACAATGTAAAACATTATTTAAATTATAATTTTTTAACTGCTCTCTATTATTCTCCTAAAAGACTCCATTCTGTCTTTTACAAGCATGGTTGATGTTATCCTCCAGGAGACTGACTTCTTGTGCCTTCACGGGCTAACATTCTAGGCTGACATGAAGTGGAAAGACTATATTGAATCCATTGTTAGCTCAACAGCAAAGAAAATTGGTTCACTGTGTTCTCAACGCTTCTTGAACTTTTTTTTCATTCATGACCCTATATTTCATTACAAGATTTTTCGCGATCCATGTTAGTAACCTACTACCTTGAAAATCCATCCGCTGTCATTGCATCACGTTAAATATTGGATATTTGTGAATTAATAACATATAAAATGAAATTCAAGGCACCTCGAGGTGGTGTAATGGTTAGCAAGCTTGGCTCGCTAGAACAATTACGACTGAGTAATGAGTTCGATCCTCACTGGGTGCCCCCTAATTTGTGCCACATCTGAGCTACGCTTGGAAAATCACTATAAAATGAAATTCAAGTGTTTGAATTTAATTTTCGCGACCCGAGCATTTTGCATGGCGGCCCCATTTGTGATCGCAAGCCATAGTTTAAGAAGCTGCTCTAGATTATAGGGTCACAGTCTCTTTACCCACTCTAGGCGTTGCAACTGTAGTTTCTGGTCGAACGTAAGGATTTTCAAGATGGAGGTAAAAGACTCAGTAATCTAAATTATCTAAGAATTAAATTCAAAATTATTACTGGAACGTACGGCGATTAGAGGGAAATCGATGTGCTATCAAACTTGTCGTAATACATGTATCGTTAGAGTAGATCAATACTTTTGTAGCCCTAGACATTTATCAACTCAGTTTTGCTCTAAAATGTTCTTCATATAAATTTCGGTCTATATCACGAGTCAGCAAACTATGGCCCGCAGGCCGGATCCAGCCTCGACATCAGTTCATCCGACCTGTTTCTTCACTGTTCCACAAATGAGCTAAAATATATTTATTTATATGGAATTATCTATAGATTGTAGTTAAACTTAATATGTAGAAAAAATTCAAATAAATGTAAGGAAAATGCGAAAATTTGGCCCAAAAGCCAGTTTTGCAAATCTCACTAAACTTTTGTGCAGCTTAGTTTGTGAGATTCGGATATGTTCACATTTGGTGTGATATAACTATTTTATTGGTATTGTCGCCTTCTTAGATAACATTTTAGTAAATAAGTATGTTTTTTTGCCTTTATTTTTTGTGCATTCAGTCGAACAAAACAAATGGTTATCGGACCCGCGCTCGTCATTCCCTCACTTATCTAGACCTCTGTAAAAAAAAGCTTGGTGACCCGTGGTCTATAAGATCAACCGAGAAACATTCTGTTTAGTGCATTTATAAGGAAGGAAATTATGTTGAAAAGTACATATTGTTGCTGTTAGGCTACGACCCTATTCACATAGGCTACGAAATCATTCACTGCGTTATGCATGTGTTCTATGTAAGTTTTGTTGATTCTCCTCTCGAATTCAGCGCTTCTTAAATGTTTTTTTTCATTCATGACCCTTTTTTCATGACGAGATTGTTGGCGACCCCAGGAATGAACCACCTACACTGAAAATCCATCCGTTGCCACTGCACGAGTAGCAACAGCGCCGAGTGCGCGTTTTATTACCGCAGCGCTTACGTGGCGCATCACGTTAAATACTGGGCGTTTTTGAAATAACATATAAACTGAAATTAAACTGTTTGAATTTAATTTTCGCAACCCCAGCATTTGGCGTCTCGATCCATAGTTTAAAAAGCGTTGTAGGCCATAATTCTCTCCAGAATCTATCTTACGAATCTATGAGTCTACCATTCGTCCAAGTTTAGAATGTCGCTGCCACGTCTGGTCCGTTGCTCCTGCTATATATTTAGAAGTTCTTTTTAAAATCCAAAGAATCGACAATATTATTGGTCATGATCTGGCGTTTAGGCTTCAGTCATTTCCCCCCACCCCACCGAAAATTTTCTTCCTTTTTTCATGGTATCATTTCTAATGATCTATTGAATAGCGATTTTGGCTGCAGAGGCCCATACGCGTCAAAATAAATTTGTTTTTACGTAATATTTATTTTAAGAAATTTTTCTTTTCGTTTACTTTAGGAAAAATCTCCGAGTTTCAGTTTTATTAGTAGAAATAAAATAGAATCATTTTATTAAAAAACAATATCCAAAAAAATAATCATGTATATGACTTTTTGAAAAAATATATAAAAATGAGCCTATTTTATTATTACTAATATATCTTTATCATTGGTATTCATAAATTTTATTTATTAAAAATTCTTCTTCATCATTATTGTATTAAAATATTTTGTCTCTTATAAAATGAGTCTATTTCGTATTTACTAATATATTATAACACATGTAATTTTTTTATTATAACAGTTCCTGAAGTAAAAGAAAATGAAAAATTTCTGAAAATAAATTCTACATAAAAACACAAGTTTATTTTGATGCGTATGGGCCTCCGCAGCCGGAATAGGTAACCGTTGATACAGAGTTACATCCTTCGCGCGCGATTTTGCAGAATTGCTTAAATTATACCTGCGGCCGGATGAGGCATGTCTCATGTGGTCCGCTTTTTGCAAAAGACCTATTCTATATGGGACCCAGACTTTGTGAATTTAAGCGGACTAATAGAATGGGAACAAGGTCTAATCAATTTACAGTTGAATTGGTTGGATGCAACCGTAAGTTATATGCAAACAGATACTACACTCGTATCTTTCGCTTGTGGTACTCTCTTCCGGCTCCGTGATTTCCAGCCAACTTTGATCTTCAAATGTTTAAATGCACTGTCAATCGTTATCTACTATCTTCGCGATTACTATGCTATTGTTCCCCATCCTTAATAATGTCTCTGTTTTCTAATTCTTCCACACCCTGTAACCTCTTGTTGCCTTGCTAAGGGGGAATTCGATTAAAACAAAAACATATAGAGCAAGTTTGTGTCGCAAATTAAATAAGAATCCAGAACTAAATCATATTTAAATAATATGAGAGCTTGTAATTACAGGTACACTATTAATACTAAATCCATATCTCCATAGTTATTCAATTATATAGTTAGACGTTAAAGGTGTTTTGAGTCTAGGATACCATAATTCACATATTCAGATCAAATATATAGTGAATGATGAATTTTTCTGAGGCAAAGTTACCAAAAACTCCGTGATATATTAGTTTGGAAGTAATTGTAACTTCTAAATAAATCTAATGTTTTTTTACCATTCATTGATTACTCCTGGTATTATATAAATCACTTTTGCTCAGTTTCTTTTCATGTTAAAAATTGTATGTGTTTAATATGACAATGAAATGGAAATATCACTCTGTAAAAAAAAAAATTAGCAACAGAACAAAAAAGAACACGATGAAAATCTTATTTAAATACCAGGATAAGGCAAGAACAATCACATCATAGACAAATGTATCTGGGTGCCTCACATGAAAGTCTTGAACAAATAAGACTTCAATCTAAGAAACGCAGGTGTAAAGGAACTGATTTATTAAACGATTCATTTTGCCCGAGAAAAAAAATTGTCTAAATGCGGATTAATATTTTATTTGTAATGATTATTAAAAGGACTAAGGCAAATACTCACTAATTAGTAATTTAATTTGATTTACATCCATTGTCACTACAGGTAAGACAGGACATATATAAATAAATACACATTGGCAATTATTATATGGTTTGATTATTATGAATCTGTTAGACCAAAGGTTTAAGTTTTTTCTTTCATTCTATCTATCTAACTAGCTAGTCTAAGTGATAATATTTGAACATGTTATTTTTGAATTAACACTAGATAAATCTTGACGAAACTCTTTCAAAATATATATTTGATAAAAAGTACGTGAACGCTTGAACAACAACAACCTCCACATTCGAGTCGTGTACCAATTTGTTGAATGTCAGCGTTTAATATTTCAACTACAACTGCCTCTTTCTCTGCCGGGTGCAACGTTACATTATGGTTTCTTGACGTGTCTTATCGCACACCTCGCTGACGCCACTGCTGAAACTCATTATACAACAATCAACTGTGCTCACATCGCCTGTTTCGTCTCCGTAAACGCTTAGCAAGTGCTGCTAAATCCCAATGGGTGAGAATATTCCCGTGATGCAGAATTCAGTGTCAAACGTTTGCTTTACACCTACCTTCACGTCAGAAGCCATTTTGTTGAACTACCGTTGAGTTGTTTTCTGCAACGCGATAAAAAATTTATAGATTATTGGCTTGAAGTTTCGGTCATTACTAGTACGCTACCACATCTTCCTGTGACCTTAGGGCGCAGGCTTATGATGATATCACGTTGAAACAGCGGTCCTCGTACGATTAGCGAAATTAAGCAACGTTGAGACTGGTCAGTACTTAGATGGGTGACCACTTGGGAATACTAGGCACTTTAAGGTTGGATGTGAAGAATGGTGTAATAGATAACGGCTCGGAATTGAAATCGAAAACTGGACATCTAATTCCAATCGGTTTCGTTATATTCACTAAACGCGCAAATACTCTAAGGAAAGGTATGAATCCACCACTTCTCCCTCCAGCTATAGGTTAATAAGTAGGATATGTTTAAAAAAATCCTTATTGTCTCGAAATGAGTCTTACAATCTAAAATTGTTTTTTATGCCTTGAAATAATCTAGATTGATAAGACATAAAATAAACATTAAGATGATAAAATAGGAGTCATGACTCTTGAAGCAACGTTCTTATATAAGTGATATCTGTACATATTGATTGATTTATGTGTTTTTATAAATTATCAAATATTTGTTCGTTCCAAAATATATTTTTAATTGTAAGAATAAATGTTTTTTCTTTTGCGAGTGAATATAATAGTAACAATTTTTGTGGTCAATGATATTCCCAGATACAAACCCTACTATGGATAGATTTATATATCCCTCAAGATTATCTGCAAGTAATTAAATGTAGCCAACTTGACTGGGATTTCGAACTCCCGAGTTCTCAGTCCGAGTCGATTTCCATTAAACCACTCACACATTATATACGGCCATAATGATTACCTTGCTGATCATTTGTAATGTCACGTTTGGGTTCAAATTTTACTGATTCTGATATTGTTCCCCTCTAGAAGCAAAGGGTAAGCTTCCACTTCTTTCTTTCTTTCTTTCTTTCTTTCTTTCTTTCTTTCTTTCTTTCCAGCGAGTTGGCTTGCTTAACTAGGTATATTTTAAGATGTTATTTTTTATTTTGGCTAACAGTATTTACATCCTGCCAAAACTCTTTTAACACACATATATATATATATATATATATATATATATATATATATATATATATATATATATATATACACAAATGTAAAAGAGCGAAGAATAAAATTACAACGTTTCCAGCATTAATTTAAAACAGGGCTCAATACAAAAAACAGAAAATAAATATTTATTATACAAAATCCGAAAGTGATGTAGTCTTTTGTTAATTGCAATTTTGAATAAAATCCTTTAACACCATTATTGTTAACCACATAAAGAAACGTTTGATTGTAACGTTGAAACAAAATGTAAAATTTTGTAGTGGATGTTTAATTATTCCAATGTAACAGTGTATAATGTATATATATATATATATATCTCAGTTTAGACAGATATTAGTCGAAAATGCATCAGTGCTTCATCAAGATAATAATAAGCAAAAACTTTAAATTCTGGAAGCCATTTACATAAGAGAACTGCGGCTAAAAATAAATTTAAATCAACAACGAGTATAGCAAAGAAGTTCTTAAATGTTTGTAGCAGCAAAGTGTTATATAAAAATTACTAATTTAAAACAGCAATTAAATAATCTTTCAAAGAAATCACATGATTTACCTCCCTTGCATTGCGGTAAAAAACTATTTTGAATTTAATCATAAAACATTCATAGAAAATAAAAAAAAAATATTTGAAAGAAAATTTTGGAATTTTTCCTAATCAATTTTCTGCAGTCACAATTTTGAATAAAATCCTTTAGTACCATCATTGTTAGCCACATGAAGAAACGTTTGATTGTTGCACTTTCGGATCTGTTGAATGGCTGTATCTAATATTCCAACTTCATGTGGATATTACTTTGCCGTGGGCGACTTGATAGCAATTCTTCTATGATCATTTCTGTTTTACTTTGATTTTATATCCATATCTGATATCTGGACAGGAACCAGAGTGATTATTCGATAAAAATTTAGAATTCTTTTTGCTGTTTAGCTGCTAGCGTATCGTTTTATCTTCGACTGTTATCCAACGTCTCCATCAGAAGAGTTTATATCAGTTAAATTGTTACTTGTTCTCCTGCCGTTGGCCAGCAAGCATCGTGCTTAATGTTTTTCATTTTTTTTTGTTTGCTTTCAAAGAAAGAATAATTTCTCTTTTATATGTTTTGTTTTCCTCGTTTCGTCTTTGTATTGTTTTCTTTTCAGCGCCGAACAAAGTTGTGTAAATTGATTTGTGAAATTTTTTTAATCTTAATTTTTTCTATACTTTTGGAAATTAGTAATACTTTTGAGAATTCAAGAGTTTGTATTGTTTGATTTTATTCTCTTTGTTTATTTATGTTCGAAAAAAATGATTTGTTATCATCAAACAGACACCCGTTTTAGTCTAAACTCTAAAAACAATTAGAATTTCTAACAATCGAATGTTTTACTAGAATTGAAAAGCCACTAAGTTTGCTCTATGTAAATCAAAGAGTTGGGAATCAAGGTAGGATTTTCACGATTGCAGGCTTTCGGGAAAAACAATGTAATAAAATTCTATCATTTTTGTCCCTCTCTTTGTGCAAACATCTTTTAATCATTCTTTTTTTGCCTCATAATCAGGGAGCTTTAGTTGAGATTATTTCATTTTACAAGATGCGGCAGAAATACCTCCCACAATTTAAAGCCGAGAAAAAACGTCAAGGTAATTGTTATTAAAAAAATGTTTTCTCTGTTGTTCTACAAAGCGTTATAGTTTGTATTCATTTTGTTTTGAAAATGATGTCCTCCAAATTAGGACCTCTATTCGCCATATAGACGACTTTTTTTTTCTTTTTTTTTTTTTAAGCGTTTCACCCAAGCAAGGCGGGAAGCCACTAGGACGCAAGTGGTTACAGAAGTTTTGGAGCAAGATCAGATAGGAGTGATAGAGGAACGGATGGGGAGAAGGATAGTGGATAGATCAAGGTAACTGGAGATGTCGATTGACATTACATTTGAATAGTTGGAGATTATAGCTCTCAGGGAAACTGGAATAGGGAAGGGAGTTCCACACGCGAGAGGTGCGAGATATGAAGCTAAGTTTTTTTCATCACCCGGAAGTTCTAATGCTTCGAGGTCCTACAGGTAACTTTATTTTAAGCGCTGAGTCTGTGACCTGAAATTTTTAGCCTATAGCTGTATTGGTTTTCTATCTGGAACAGTATCATTCCGACATGAAATGAACACGAACATTTATCTGTGTTGCAATTACAGATTCACCTGTCTTAAAAACAACGTTTTAATAGCATGATGTGCTTCGTTCCAAGCCATGATATTAGCTGATGGTATTTGAAAAAATGGTAATATTAATTAGATGAAGACACCATTACTATACGTTCATTAGCTCTACATAGGTGACGGTTTAAAATGTGGGAGGTATTTTTATCGCATTCTATATAAACACGAATAGCCGAGTTCATAAAAACCCGAATATATTTTCCAATATATCTGATGAATACGAACGCAATATGTTAAATTCTTTCTGATGTTTACTAAATATAGTATGTCTTCTGTGTACCATATGCCTTCACGCTTTGGGTGATAACGTCTCTCCACAACCTCCTGTGCTTTGTAACTATTAGTCATGCTTTTTTCTTCTTTTTTTGCTATTTCTTCTAATCCCTGTTCTGTCAATCGGTTGCACATGTTCGCTAGTTACGCTGTTCACTACTTTCTTTTGTCCCAGTCTCTTTAATATAACCTGTGTGTATTACATTTTCTAAGCCTAATTTCCTTCAGTATCTCTCTATATTTCTGAGATGAGGTATTATGTACACTATTTACAATATTCGGACTATTTTTCTCATCTTTTTCGCCATATTTATTACAACCTTTCGGCCGTTGTACGCTCCGGCCTTCTTCAGGTGGTTAGAATGTCGAACTGAAACCTTTCTTTCGCTCACTGGGACAGACTGTTCTAGTGCCACGTCCCATGTTAACAGGAGATAACTGACAACTGATATCCATTAAAACATGGAACGTGCCACTAGAACAGTCTGCCCCAGTGAGCGAAATAAAAGGTTCAGTTCGACATTCCAACCACCTGAAGAAGACCGGACATATAACGATCGAAACGTTGTAATAGATATGGCGACAAAAATGAGGACAATAGTCCGAATAATGTAAATAGTGTACATAATACCTCATCTCAGAAATATAGTGAGATACGTGGAGTTAATTGTAACAGTAAATAATTTTTAAAATAAATACGATACGAATTCTTACCTTCTGCGTTCCTTTGTCCCACTCTCTTTAATATACCCTGTGAGTATTACATTTTCCAAGCCTACTTTCCTCATTATTGGCGCTAGAGATGTCACTTCTGATGTCATTTATGCGTCCTGCGAAGTACCAATCGCAAAATGCCCTGTGAAGTGCCACTCGCAAAACTCCTCTGACCGATCCGATCATCTTGATTGAGAGCATGGACTGTTCTTTGAATTTACATTGCTCAATAACAGAACGTCAAGATGCCGATAGACACTTGAAATCAGCACGCGCTTGCCCCACAGAATTTCTTGAAATCTGACGATAGGTTTTTAGCATTATTCCTTGCTTTGACGTGCTCGACAATGTCCGCCGTCTTCCGGAACGTTTCTTTTCGGCATTCTGAATAGTCCCAGCTGCTTCAAACATCTCTAATTCCAATAATGGTAAGACGCGACGGTGGATCTATTTGAAACTCTTTCCTGAAATATCGTTGCACTTCATCTGTGTCATCAAATTTCCAACAATAATTTAGGAAAATTAATATCTTCAAAGCGTCAGCTGTCTACCGACATTATTTATAATGGTTAAACTTTAGAAGAAATGACAATTAAATAAGACACCAGGTTTTAAATTGTTCATAATTTTGGGGGACATGAAAAGATATTGCAAATTTAGCATACAAAAATCTGAATCTTTCTTCCTAAATGGATTTCCAAGCAACTGCAACCACAAGTAAAGTCCCTTTAAGTAGAAATGTTATCGCCTGTTATAATTAGACGAGTACTAGATGTAATGACAAAAGTAAGCTGATGTAGGCTTTAAGAAAGCTTTATTCCACTGAAAATATAAGGTTCGTGCACAGTCCTTTTATAAACAGAAATCGCTCGCTTATAGAGAAGAGTAAATAAAACAAGGGGAGACCACTCTTGATTATTCATAACACTAGTTACCCAATGTAGGTCGAAGTAAAATTGCTGAAACGTTATGATAACAGAAAAACAAGCAATGATCTTTGTATATATAATTTAGATTTTAAACGTTTCTCCTTATCATATTTAGTTCAATGTGGTAATTCGATTGTTTTTTATGTCTTTCGCCAATGTTCTTAATATTCAGCATTTTTACCGCAGTCTATATTTACAACACGAGATTCAAATATTTTCTTGTTGTCCGCTTTTCTTCATTATTATCCTCTTATTTTTTTTCTTTGATTTGCTTCTATAACACTCTTAAAGATTCGCCATTGTTCACGTCTTGCTAATGTTTTCATTTCGTCTTTCCTGTTGTTCCGTTATCACTGTTCAAAGCCATTCACAATTTCCAATAAATCTACAATAACTTGATTTTCCTTGGGGTTCATATTTTTCCAGCACTCCATAGCAACATTTATAACACTGAAATTAAAAATATAAATCTCAATAATATATATATATATATATATATATATGTGTGTGTGTGTGTGTGTGTGTGTATTACATACCTACCAACGTATTTTTTATCCATTTTGTAAATATTTCTAAGAAAATATATATTATAATCATATATTCATATCCTAAATTTATCGTATGAATATATCAGGAAAATATTCTCCACACTAAAAGCTTAATATCATCTTCATATTGTAAACTTCGACTTACATAATCTCTTATATATTCAGGAACAAGCATTCTATTTCATATTTTAGACAACTATCCCTGCTTCTCTGGTTTGCATAAGAAATGCGCAAGTCGTTTGTGAATCTGTCTCTTTCGACTATTTGTTCAGAGTTTATCAAACTCCGTTGCCGTAATGGACAGAGACCTAAACTACGATTATACACGTTAATTTGTCTATATTTCTGAGATGAGGTATTATGTATACTATTTACATTATTCGGACTAATGTCCTCATCGTTATCGTCATATTTATTAAAACTTTTCGGCTGTTGTACACTCCGGCCTTCTTCAGGTGATTGGAATGTCGAAATGAAGTCATTATTTCGCTAACTGGTGTAGACTGTTTTAGTTCCACGTGCCATGTTAAATGGGTTTCAGTTGTAAGTTATTTCCTGTTAATTCCCTTCTCCAAGTTCTCCACTGCCTTAACCGGGTATTGAACTCACACTCTTTGGTTCCTGTCACTGGATCTAACTAAAGCCTTTATCCACTGTGCCATGTGACCTTGAGGACATCCATTAAACATGGCACGTGGAACTAGAACAGTTTACCCAAGTGAGCGAAACAAAGGGTTCAGTTCGATTTGAATCACCTGAAGAAGGCCGGAGTGTACAACGGGCGAAACGCTGTAATAAATATGGCGACAATAGTCCGAATGATATAACTAGTGTACCCGTTAATTTGTTTCAATTTTTAAGTGTCTACATAGGGGCCTTTACATATCATGAATGAATTCACAGAGGAAGCACAGGGAAAATATGATTTGGACACGGACATAAATGTAAAGAGTATGGTTTTAACTTGATCGCAAACATTTCTTTTTTAAAGACGGGATTTGTGAAGTTTCGTTTTCTTAGTGGCGCCCACTTCAACGAAAAGGAATAAGAAAATACATAAATAAAATGAAACGTTTGAAGTCAAGCGACAACAAACTAGATACTGATGATTTCTGTTTTCTGGTCTATATTAACAAAGTTGGCATTGATATGGTCAGTTCAGGTCAGCCTTTGATGGAGGATTATTATTTGAATAGTTCCTATGTCGCCAGTATATACTGCCAGTCACACGGAGAGAGAAGAACTTCTTCTAAATGTAACCTATAAACCTATCCAGGCCGAGCAAGCGAAGCTCCGAATAAAGCACCTAATTATATTAGTAACAGAGTTTCAGTTGTCATTTCCTGCCTTGGCGTTTGTTTGATTTTTTTGTTTCTTTGTGAACGTGCAGTGGGTATTTCCCAGTTTTTTGGCACACACCGACGTAAATGGAAATGGAAGTGGGTTGTCATTAGGCGGTCAATGGAGGTGTGTGTGGGCCCCGTTTTATCCTTACAGCATCACCTAAGGAAAAATCTCCCCTCATCAGAATGTATCGCCCAATTATTATACGTATTCCCAGAATGCCATTATTGAAAATGATCTTATGTAGTAGGTAATATTTTAGTATTTAAAACGTGTGTTACTTGTACTAATACCGAATTTGTACTAATTATGTGAAGTCAATATCTTTTCTCTCTCTGAGATGAGGTATTTACATTGTTCGGACTGTTATCCTCATCTTCATTGCCATATTCACGACGTTTCGGCCATTGTAAGCCCCGGCCTTTTTAAAGTGATTTTAATTTCGAATCGAACCCTTTATTTCGTGCACTGGTGTAGATTATTCTAGTTCCACGTTCCATGTCTCTTCCGAATGTCTCAGTTATTTCCCTTTAACTGAACTCTCCAAATTGTGGCTTGGTATTGATCTCACAATTCTTTCGGTCCTGTCACTGGATCTAACCAACGTCTTTATCCATTCGGCTATGTTGTGAGTTCAATACCAGGCCAGAGCAGTTGTGAACCAAAACTGGGAAAGTTAAGTTAAAGGGAAATAACATCCGGAAGAGGCATGACACGTGGGACAAGAACAATCTACCCCGGTGGACGAATTAAAGGTTTCATTTCGAAATTCCAATCACCTGAGGCAGGCCGGATTTTACAAGGGCCGAAGTTTTGTGAATATGGCAATGAAGATGAGGATAACAGTTCGAATAATGCAAATAATGCAAGTAATCAATATCGTTCCTTCATCACTGCTCTGATCCTGAGTTTTGCCAGTAACGATTAACAGTCGTATCTCCAACGAAATGATTGCTTTAAACGTCTATTTGTTTTTTTATTCTCTCTATTGCAAAAGATTCTCGGAAAATGGTCTGCACATTCTATCGCTCCAGGAAGTGTCTGATTTCTTTTACTATATGTTACCTTTAGAAGAGTCAGATTAGACTAAAAATGGACTATTACTGCCAAATCTGTGCAGGAGCTGGGGAATACTCATTTTCCAGTCTTGATAGAATTAAAATTAGTTGACGTGGTTTTGTTAGAGAAGACTTATTCTTCAACCTGAAGCTATTTTCCCGCAAAAGTGACGTCGCAAGCTTATAACTTTTTTTGTCACTATCAAATGTTCAGATGAGCTTTAGTTCCACCAGTTAAGGTACTGATATCTCGGACACCTCAGGCTATTTCCACAGAGTCGTATCACCCTTATTTATTCAGTATTTAAAATATAAGGAAAAAGTTGCACTCGGACAGTTTGTTTTTTTCCCAACGACTGCAATTTTGTGGAACAGACTTCCGCATAGATGTTTTCCTGAAAATTATATCTATAATCTCTTCCCGTCAATCGTTATCCATCTTCCTTATCCTCATAATTTTCCCTTTCTAACACTTCTGTTTTTATTCAGGTTACGCACCTAAAACATTATGACAATTTTAATAGTATCCCTCTAGCTTGAACGGCTCTCAAATTTTGTGACGGGTGAATATTAATATAAAAATTTAGTATAAGAGATTGCACGTACATGTCATTTTAGCTTATTAAGATTCATTTCGCATCAGATAAGCTCAGTTACTGTTCAAAAAGGTCTGAAAATTGCGTTTAAGACAGTCACCACATGGTGTTGACTTCAATGTCCACTTTTTATATATATATATATATATATATATATATATATATATATATATATATATGAGGAAAGGGGTTAAATTAAGGACTGAAGTAGTATCGAAAGTAGTTTTGACATTGAAGCTCTTCTTGCTAGTTAATATAAATATATCTTCGACGCTGTGGCAGAAGATTATTCGTTTAGATTGATTTTGGTGTGTTCTTATATTTAATTTTCTACAGTTAAGATAATATTCTGAAGTGTGTGTATGTGCATATGCCCGCGTGCTTGAGTGCTGGTTTGCCTGTAATGTAAACAGCGAGGACTATATGTTACTTATTTTTGCATTTGCATTGCACTAATAAAAGATTAAAGTATATTCTTGGATTCATCCTTACTTGCTTATAGTCACTACTTGCTGAATATTAAACCAAACAGATTTAACTCTATTGGCCAATGAGAAATCTTTTTTCATGCCCGGGAAAAAGAATGATGAAAATTTGTAATATAGAAATTTGGATTTTTGTACAAAACACGCACACACATAGATAGATAGATAGATAGATAGATAGATAGATAGATAGATAGATAGATAAAAATGTCT